ATGAGGAGGACTGAGATGGGTGGAGAAAAGAGGGAAAGGTATTCTGCACTGGGGGAATATATGAGGTGAGAATAGGCAGTAGGAAGTGCTGTGTGTTTATCAATGGATGCCAGCTAGTCCTGTTGGACTAGAACACAGGGCAGAAGAGACAGCAGGATGGAAGGTGGACCTTCAAAGTTATGCTGGGGCTCTGAATGCCATAATCAGTGTTTGCAGACCCCAAACTTTCAGCAGCACCTCATTTTCCAAGCAAAACCCTTGAGGAGGCAGAAAGACAGCATATCCAGGCACATCTGTCTCCCTAGAGACTCCTCTTAGGCACCTAGAGAAAGCTTAACAAATCCCAGGCTCTCACTTCTTTCTCTCTAGCCTGAGTCAATAATCATCATAATGATAACAGCCACGATTACCAATCACAGGACACCTATTTTGGACCAGGTGCTGTCCTATGTATTTTTAATACTTAATCTCATTTTTTTCTAACCATAATTCCTCCAATAGGTACTACCACAATGCCCCTTTTATAGATGAGGAGAGTGAGGCTCCAAGGGGAAAAGTAACCTACTCATGATCACAGAGCTGGTCAGTGGTAGATCTAGGACTAGAGGCCAGACTGAGGCATGGATTCCAGGCCCCAGGCTTTTAACCACCACACCGCACTGTCTCTCTCACCTCTCCCAGCTCTCCAGCCTCTGTGGGGCAAGATATCCTAACTCAGTCTCTTTTTTGTTTTGTGTTTGCAGTATTGATTAGAATATATAATAACTATCTACAGTTGCTATCATTTATGGCTTTATGGTCCCAAGGTAAGCAGCAGTAGGGGGTAGTGGAGAGACAACTGGGCTGTGGTAAGATGGGAGTGGGTTTGAGTTCCAGCTTCACTATCACACATCTGTCATTCATCACTCCAAGACCTAGTTTCCCAATCTCAGGATGAGCCCATTCCCAGCTCACTGGATGCATGAGAAGTCTATGAGATGCAAGGCTCATGAACTCAAAGGCTTTAAGGTGGGTACCAGAAATGACTGACGCTGCTAGGGTCACACAGCAGGGAGTGGGAGGGATCTGGGCAGTGCATGGTCTCACCTAGGTGCTCAAACCCAAGCAGCTTCAAGAATTGGACCAACCAAACAAAAACTGCAACCAGATTTGTCCTGAGAGCCACTGGTTGAGACCTCTGACAGATGTTAAACTGCTTTGAAAACTTGGATGTGCATAGAAATATAATGGATTGTTTTTATTATTCAAAATCATAAGTTGTCTGTCATGTGCCAAGTATTGAATTTGGTATGATTCGTTGAACAGTACGAGGGACCTGGGAGCAGGTGCTCTGCCTGCCTGCATGTTTTGTCTTTTACAAACATTTACTCAGCTCCAACTCATGGGACCCATGTGCGATGCTGGGGACACAGTGATGAATCAGACATAGTCACGTGGTCCCTGCCCTCAAGCTGCTCCCAGACTTGTTGGGGAGACAGGCTAATAAAGATACTTCTACTGTCCAGGGCTAAGTGCTAAGAGGTAGGCTTGGAAGGCACAGAGGAGGGACACCCAGCCCAGACACAGCAGTGGAGTGGAGGACAGAAGAGATGGTCAGGGAAGGTTGCCTAGAACTATGGTCCACCAACAGCTGGTCCCACCTTTGAGAAGGTTGTAAAATCAATTTAGTGCCTAGCAATCAGCATTTTAAAAAATAAACAGAATAGAAAATATCAGGCCAGGCGCAGTGGCGCATGCCTATAATCCTAGCACTTTGGGAAGCTGAGGCGGGTGGATCACCTGAGGTCAGGAGTTCCAGACCAGCCCGGCCAACATGGTGAAACCCTGTCTCTATTAAAAATACAGAAATTAGCTGGGTGTGGTGGTGCGTGCCTATAGTCCCAGCTACTCGGGAGGCTGACACAGGAGAATCACTTGAACCTGGGAGGCAGAGGTTGCAGTGAGCTGAGATCACACCACTGCACTCCAGCCTGGGTGACAGAGACTCCATCTCAAAAAAAAAGTAAATATCATAGAATGTTGCATGTACAAAGATACATACATCACACATGTGCACCTGTGTGTATCGTGGGTCATGATGTAAAACATTCCTTACTGTGGGTCGAAGGTTTGAGAGCTATAGTTAGAGAGAATATGTTGCCTGCCCTGAACCCCAAAGCCTGGCACATAGTAGATGTTCAGAGAATTTTGATACGTGGAAGGATGGATTTAAATTCTCACAGCAAAGGTGACTCTTCTGCTGGTGGCCCAGCCCGTGACCTGCTGAACAATAAGCATCCCCAGCTTTGACCCACGCAGGTGGCATATGCTTCATAACAGCAGTGGCTGAGGGCCCTGTGTTTACTCTGGGATGGCCTCAGTCACCCATCTCAGGCCCAGAGGCCCAGCAGCCTGTGCTTTCAGGACGCCAACAGGAAGAACTGTTTGTGGGGGTAGATTGGAATACAGCAGAAAGAGGTCCCTGGGGAAAACAGAAGAGGGACAGAAGCCTGAATCAGTCCCTCACAGGGTGAGGTGAGTCAGGGGTAATGACTAGGTGGCCACAAACAGAGCCTCCTTTTTAGTGGTTTTCAGGACACTCTGAACTTCATCTGTCCTATAATATCAGGACTAAAATACTCCTTGGCTACCTTTCTCCTCCATCATAGACTCCTACTTAATGTTGGAAGGGCCCTAGACATTATCCAGTTCAACTCTCATTTTATCCATGAAGAGAAAGAGGCACAGAGAGGGAAGGCATTGGCCGGTGGTCATCCAGCAGGCAGCCTGAGAGCTGGGGCCAGGACCAGGAACCCAGGTCACCTACCCCATCACCCTGAGCCCATGTCCTTCACATGCTCCTCTCTCCCATCATCTTACCAGAAGGATCTCCTACCTAATCTAACCTCCTTTGGCCTCTTCTCCATATGTAATCAAAGAAGTCTTTCTAAAGAACAAATGAGTTACTATGTTAGTAACTGCCTAAAGCCTTCCCTTGCTCCCCACTGCCTTAGGGTGAAAGACAGCCATAACCTTTGCCCTCACCCCGCCCACCTTTCAGGCTTCCTCTCTTGCTCTTTGTCTCTTTTCATACTGTTAGCTCATGCTCCTGAATTAGTTGGAGCTCCCTATTTATGACATGTTTTTTCCCAACTATAATCCTTTTGCACATACTGTCCCCTCTGCCTTCAACACTCTTACCAACCCTGCTGCATTTGTCTGTTCTTTTTTAGATTACAGAGTAGATCTTTCTTTTTCCAGGAAACCTCCCCGGCCTACTGGCCTCCAGGGTAAAGTATCCCTACTAAGTTGTCTGGCAGCAACTCTATGCTGTTATAATCTGTGTTACCATCAGTTTCTCCTGGCTCCTGAGAGAAGGCTGGGTATAGAAGATAATGCTGCCATCCATTAGGAGAAAGGGAACACTGTATGGAACCCAGTAGTTCTCCAGGACATCTCTTGGTACTTCCACTGACCACAGTAAAAGTTCATAAAAAACTAACCCAACCAACTAATAACCAACAAAGGCAGGGCCCCTAAGGGTTTGGACCCTTCAAGAATGAAGGTTTTGATTGCCCTACTAGGTAAAAAGCCAGACCAGTGGAAGGGTGGGCTCAAGGCAAATGGAACCTGGGATGAATAATGGAAGAAGGAATTTGTAAATATTACCTACAGCCTTGTGACCAGTTACAGAAAGAGAACTGTAGTAGTGATATAGTTTTTTCTCCTTGTTTGTATGTGTATGTATATCTGTATCTATGTCATCTATCTTTCTATTTATTCATCTATATACACATTTTGTTTTGTTTTGTTTTGAGAGGGGGTCTCGCTGTATCACCCAGACTGGAGTGCAGTGGTGTGATCTTGGCTCACTGCAACCTCTGCCTCCTGGGTTCAAACAATTCTCTTGCCTCAGCCTCCTGAGTAGTTGGGATTACAGGCATGCACCACCATGCCCAGCTAATTTTTGTATTTTTAGTAGAGATGGGGTTTAACCATGTTGGCTAGACTGGTCTTGAACTCCTGATCTCAGGTGTTAGCTGGGCATGGTGGTGGGTGCCTGTAATCCCAGCTACTTGGGAGGCTGAGGCAGGAGAATCACTTGAACCTGGGAGGCGGAGGTTGCAGGGAGCCAAGATCGTGTCATTGTACTCCTGACTGGGCAACAAGAGTGAAACTCCATCTCAAAATTAAAAAAAAGAAGGCACTGACTCTCAGCTCCAAACTGACCCTTCTATACTTAACTTGGCAACGGTGGGACTGGAACTGTTTGAATTACATTAGTTTTGCCAGCCAGCTCCTTGTTAGGGGCTGTCAGGCAGACAAAGACACCCTCCTTTCTGTTGTCTTTGTTGTTCATGCCAGTGTCATCGCAGCAGTGTCATTTCACTTCCAGTTTCTGGTTTTTTCCACACTCCTAGAATCAGCTTCATTTCTCTCTTCAGAGGCTCCACTGGGCAGTGCTGTCCCACCAGAGGTTTGGGTCCCAACTCTGCAGGAGCCCTGCTCTGAGCTCCCAGGAGCCAACCCCAGCTGGCCTCTGCTCAGGGGTCTGGGTTGCAGGTCCTGGGGGTCCCTCTGTTGACCTTCTAGGTTCTCACAACCTAATCTTTTACTATTGTCCCCAGTCCTTGAGGGGGTACCTGCATCCTGCAGTTACTTTCTCTGTTACCTCAATGTCTTCCTTTGCTTTTCCAGTTCCCTGGTAGCCACCAATTTCCTGATATTAAATTCTTTCCATTTTTCTTTTTTCTTTTTTTTTTTTTTTTGAGACAGATTCTCACACTGTCACCCGGGCTGGAGTGGAGTGGTGCGATCTTGGCTCACTGCAACCTCCGCCTCCCAGGTTCAAGCAATTCTCCTGCCTCAGGCTCCTGAATAGCTGGGATTACAGGCACCCGCCACCATGCCCAGCTAATTTTTTGTATTTTTAGTAAAGATGGTGTTTCACTATGTTGGCCAGGTGGTCTCGAACTCCTGACCTTGTGATCTGCCCACCTTGGTGTCCCAAAGTGTTGGGATTACAAGCGTGAGCCACAACGCCAGGCCTCTTTCCATTTTTCTGACTGAACTCTTACTGACACAAGATAATACAGAGTTCCTTCTCACACGGATCTTACAGTCTAGTGGGAGAGATCGATATTAAGCAAATAATTACATTTAATTATGTTGAAATAAGTGCCATGAAGGAAAAGTACAAAGTATATTAGCATATTAAAGGCCCTGAGAAGTTCTGCAGTAAATAAGCCTGGTTAGCATTGTTTAGGGCAATATCTCCCTATCTTATTTGACTAAGAAACTTCATGGTAAATGTATTAGCACCCAGCAGAGTTAGCATGCTACAGAGTAGTGCATTGTGCAAATGGAAAAGGGAAGTCATTGAAGAAATGTGAGCCGGGGGACTTGGAGTGTGAGCATTTACCATGTTCCTCCAGTAGCATCCAATGGGTTAGGGGTGTCTTAGCTCCAGGATTCCAGTCATAGGATCAGCTGACAATTCTCCTTGCTCTTATTCTAGCCCCACAAGGCAGCTTTCTGGTCATCACTGACTTACTGAGTAAATTTCCCTATAGGAAGATGATGCTGTCATCTACCAGCACAGATGGTCTGGTCTACCTGGAAGTTTCTTTCTCATTATAGAGCAAGGTTTCTTGATCTGGGTCTTTAGAGGGACCATTCATCCCTTAAGGCTATCTGCAAAATGTGTGTGTGTGTGTGTGTGTGCGCGCGTGCGTGCGTGTGGGCACATGTGTGCACATGTGTGCTTGTGTGTGTGCATGCATGGACATTTTTCTAGCAAGAGGGTCCATATCTTTTGATACTCCTAGCGGGAGTGTGACTTCAGAAAAGGGTAAGGTTAGGAATCACTGCATTAAAGGAAAATGTTCCTATTATTTGTGTATTGATCTCCTGTGAGTGTGGTCACTGCAAATGGGTTCTTCTCAGTCTGATCAGCCTTGTGTTGACTCACCAAACTGAGGTTCTGGATCCTCCAAGGTACCTACTCCCCTGACTAAAAGATGAACCAACCTTCTTGGACCTCAAGGGATCACTCCCCTCTAGGTTGTTGCCTGTCCCATTTCCTCTTGATGGGAAACCCTGTCCCCAAGCCTTGTGGTCAAATCCCAGTTATTCTTCAGGTCTTAGCTTAGAAGTCATTTCCTCCTTGAAACCTCTGACTTACCACTTCGGGATTTGATACCCCTTCTTTGTGCTCCCACAGCATCTGTCCCACCTCTCTGGGGCCCCTACTTTCCCTTCCCTGCAGGACCATGTTTTGCCCTTCATTGTGTTTGTTCCATGATGCAATTAACTGTTTCTAGTACTACGCTGCCACCTTTAGAATGCAAGCTCCACAAGGAAGGGGGGCTGTGTCCAGCTTTGCTCTGCTTTTTCCCCAACACCAAGCACACTGTCTAGCATATAGTAGGTGCCCATTAAAATCGAAGGAATGCATGCAAAAATAAGTACCTTAATCCTTTCAGTGCGACATTTATGTGCCATCACAGCTAGACCACGAATGTCCTTTTACCTCCCTCTAGTACTATGTACAGATTTGCCATGAGAAGTCCACAAGATAAAACATCCAGGTAATCAATTTTTGTCTTTCATCAGCAAAAGCTTTTTTCTCATCAAGTGTGTGCATACATTTGTACATACAGATGCACATACTTATATGTGGATGAAGAGAAAAAGAGTTGCAGTGTCGAAAGAAACCTACCTGCGTTTCTCAGAAAGCGGTTCCTGTAGTCCTTGACTACCCTCGTGATGGGGTTATAGAAGCCGTCTCCACAATCGTAATAGCCCTTGGGTATTTTTCTAGGTGGGTCCATATTGGTGAGTTGAGCCATACCTTGAAAGAACATAATGGGCAATTAGTTCACCATCAAGGCCAAATCTAAACCCAGTGTTCCCATAAGGTCTACTTTTGGCTGGTGGCTCATGTGACTATCTGGCTCCACTGTTGAACTAAATAACCCCTACTCAGGGCAAGAAGCAAACCCAGCAGAAACAGTGCCCCAAAGGAACTTTCTGAAAATGGCTCTTGGGAACAGGGTCTTGGGAACTAGACCCTCTGTCTTCTTTGTTTGACCCTATCCTTTTCCATTTCTTGGGATACCATGAAAAAGGGCACAGGTTCTGAAGTCAGACAGACCCTGAGGATAAGTCAGAGTTGGCAAACAGATGGGAGAGCATCAGGTCTAGAAGAGGGGTGGCATTCAAGGCGTGGGCAGAGGCCAGAGGCATGGGTCCTTAGGCCCTCCTCTCGAAACCTTGTAGAGCAGAGGACGTGTGAAGGAGAACAGCAGGAAAGAAATGGATCAGGTGGACAAGGGGCAGGTGGTGGAGAACCTTGACTTTCGCCAAAATTACCAGGTGGCTGCCACTTATTCAATGTTTATTATGTGCCAGGCATTGTGCTCCTATTTTATTTAATCCTGAGAGCAACTCTGTGGCTCAGTTTTACAGATAAGAAAACTGAGGCTCAGAGAAGTTAAAGTAACATTCCCAAGTTTATCCAGCTAGGAAGCAGTCTAACTCTGGAACCTGTATGTTCAGCTGCCAACATCAGGGGAGGAGGGAGCTGAGGTGCAGCCACAGGACCAGGGACACTGAGACCTCTGGGAGGGAAAGAAGATCGAGTGCACCTTTTAGGTCACGCACCCTATGTGTGTGTATCTTGAAAAGCCATGGCTCAAGTAAAGGGAGAGGTTGGAATAAATAACTTCTCAGGTTCCTTCTAACTATAGTTCCTATAATTCCTTGTTCTCTAGACTGAGAGCTGGATGCCCACTGAGCACACAGCACCATTTCCACAAATCAGTGTCTTGCACACAGTAGGCACTCTTGTGTTGCTTAATGACATACCTAACACTAACCCTGACATTGACCCTGACCCTAACCCTAACCCCGTGTGTACTGGCTAATGATTGCCGAGCACTTACTCCACGTCAGGCACTTTACAGCCATTCTCACTGAAACGTCATGCCAATGCCTACTTCACAGATGCTCAAAGAGGTTGTGGGGCACTTTTAACCCTCACCCTGCCTTGCAGGCAGGGCGAGTTACCCTAACAATGCCAGCCCCAAGAGGCAAAGTGTGGAGCAACAAGGGAAGGAAGTAGCTACTTAGAATCAAGCTTCTCTGCTGAGGGTCACTGGAGAAGAAGGGAAGAGCCAGGCAGGTTTGGGAAAAACCACCATGAGACTGGCAGAGACTCAGCTTTAGCAAAACCAGCCACTGTGTGAGAGCTGAGGCCTAAGGCTGAGGGCTTTTTGCCTACAGCCTTAATTGGGGTAAAAAGCCCATGGCAAAGTCCAGGCCTCCCATCATTAGTAATTGGGGAGGAGTGATTTGCAAGGGTCTCAAGCTGCAGCTAGACTGGCAGCTCTTTGAAGGGAGAGACGATGTCCTCTCAGCTCTAGTCTCCCTGGGGCCAGCCAGTGTCTGACATACAGTAGGAGCTTAGGAAATGTTTCTTAATGTCATTGCCTTAACTCCCCTAAGCACATACTTCACCCTGCACTGTGATGTCGATATCATTATCCCTGTTTGACAATAACTCTTTAACGAGTACCCACTGTATGGCAGACAATGTGCTAGGGCCCTGCCTTCATGTTGCTGACAGCTTGGGAAGAGGAGCTGAACACTCAAGATCCAAGCCCTGGGGGGAGATCATGGCTGCTCTGTGATATGCCACAGGGAGACCTTACCTAGTGTGGGAATTCAGGGAAGGGGGTCCCAGCTTCAGGACATTGAGCTGAGACGTGAAGGACGGGAAGGAGTTATTTGGGTGAAGTAAGAGGGTTAAAGTATTCCAGGCAGAGAGAATGGTGGAAAAGTGTGGTCTCCTAGAGAAATAGAGAGAAAGCAAGTATGGCAAGAAGGGAGAGAGAAAAACCAAGAAGAGTGGGTAGCCCAGGAAGGGGCTGGGACATGAGCAGCAGCCAGAGAATGTCACTGTTTCTGAGAATTTGAAACCTTATCTTGAGGGTATAGGGAGCACTCAAGGGTTGGGGGATGGGGGCAATCAGATTCACACTTTAAAAGATGTAAGTGGCTGGGCATGGTGGCTCACGCCTGTAATCCCAAGTTAAGGAGGGAGGGTAGCTTGAGGCCAGGAGTTCTAGATGAGCCTGGGCAACATGGCAAGACCCATCTCTACAAGAAACTTAAAAAAAAAAAAATTAACCAGCAGTGGTGGCGCATGTCTGTAGTCCCAGCTACTTAGAAGACCAGATCACTTGGCAGGAGGATCGCCTGAGCCCAGGAGTTCAAAGTTACAGTGAGTTATGATCACACCACTGCACTCTAGCATGGGCAACAGAGCAAGACTCTGTCTCAAAAAAAAAAAAAAAAAAAAAAAAAAAGATGGGTGACTGCTGCAGGGACAGGTTGGGTTGGTTATTAGATTAAGTTAAATCAGGGAGAGATAGTGAGGCAGAACAGGCATTGGCAAGAGAAAAAAAAAAAAAAAAAAAAAAAAAGATGGAAGTGACTGCTGCAGAAAGGAGAATGACCTCAAGAATGGCCAAGTGGGGATCTCTGGAAGTCAGGTCATCAAGGGGAGAGATGATGGAGGGCTGGAACAGGGCAGTGGCAAAGAGGATGAAGAAAATGCTGCCTGGCACATGGAAATACTCAGTAAATATTTGTCGACTAAACAAATGAAAGAATATATTTCAGAGGTAAAATCCATAGGACTATTGCACTTAGGGGACAGGGGAAGGGAGGATTAGGCTTACCTAGGTGGATGGGCATGACATTCAGTGAGGCAGCCATCACAGTGGGGGTGACAATGAATTCAGTGCAGACAATTTGGGGAATGACCAAGATAGGTGTCAGTCAAGCTTGATGCAGGGATCTTAGGCTCAGGGATTCTGATTTCAATTTAGAAGCTGATGGTAGTTGAAGGCTTAGAAGTATATCAACTTGTTCAGGAAAAGCATATAGAATGATAACAGAAAGTGCCTAAGCCAGAGAGCCCCAGGAACCTCAGCATGAATAAATGGGGGTGGGGTGAAGTTGAGGAGGCACTAGCAAAGAAGCCTGGGGATAGGAGGAAAATAGCAGAGTAAGTGTCAGGAGGGCAAAGGGAGAGAAGGCGGCTCACCCGGTCAACTAACTGATCCAAGGTCATGAAGCTGGGAAGGGAAGGAGATGGGGGTTTGAGCTCAGGTCAGCCTGATTCCAGGGCCTGGGTGCTTCCTGAAGGCTTCTGCCCTGATGGAGGTTGACTTGTGCAGTCTCATGTAGCTATAGACAGGAAATGCTAGGACTCAAACCCATAATTTCTGGCTCCATGCTCTATCAACCACAGCTCATGGTCTCTCATAACCTAAGTTGGGATTGCTTTTATAGTATACAGAGTTGTTTCTCCATCTGTCATTTTGGATATATTATCTCTGCTGTGCCAAAAACTACACTCTTCTTTTTAAAATTTTTTAATTATTTATTTATTTTTTATTATACTTTAAGTTCTGGGGTGCATGTGCAGAATGTGCAGGTTTGTTACATAGGTATACACGTGCCATGGTGGTTTGCTACACCCATCAACTTGCCATTGACATTAGGTATTTCTCCTAATGCTATCCCTCCCCTACCCCCGTCTTGAGGCTCATCTGACCTGGAACACATCTCAAAAACACTCAGATGAGCCTTTTAAGGTGCCATTCTCTGAATCCAGACTTGTAGTCCAAATGTAGCCGTCCGTGATGAAACACGGTTTTGGCAGGGAGGGAGCATGATACAGAGGACCTCAGAGAGGAAGTCTGGGCCTCCAGTGTGATCTCTGCCACAGGGAACCATGTCTGAACTCCACAGCCTCAACTTGGAGTGACATGGGACTAGGAAGGCTGACTGGGCAGGATCATCTGGACATTAGGGAGACAGGGATTACAGACAGCCTCCCTCAGCACCTGATACACAAAGCACATGCTCTGTCAGTACTGCTTTTGCCCTTAACTCTTTCTTCTTAAAATATTTACAAAATTTTAGTGTTATAGGAGGTACTACAAATAAGAACAGCTGACATGTACTGTGCACCCACATGCATTCAAGGCACTGTTCTAAACACCTGACATGAATTATCTTATTTACAACAATCTTGGGAGGTAGATTATGCTATTGATCCCATTTTGATCTTTTTTTTTTTTTTTTTTTTTTTTTCCTCCTGAGACCACAGTCTCACTCTGTCGCCCAGGCTGGAGTGCAGTGGCGTGATCTCAGCTCACTACAACCTCCACCTCCTGAGTTCAAACGATTCTCATGCCTCAGCCTCCGGAGTAGCTGGGATTACAGGCACACCACCACACCCGGCTAATTTTTGTATTTTTAGTAGAGACGGGGATTCACCATGTTGGCCAGGATGGTCTGGAAGTCCTGACCTCAAGTGATCCACCTGCCTTGGCCTCCCAAAGTGCTGGAATTACAGGCATGAGCTGCTGCACCCAGCCGATTGACTCCATTTTGAAGGGAAGAAACTGAGGCACAGTGGGTAAAGCCCCTTGCCCATGGTCCTCTGACTAGCATAGTGGAGTTGAGATATGAGGACTGGCCTTCCTGGCTCCAGGACCTGGCTCTTTTGTATTCTTCTGCAGCTGCTCAGTTCCTCTTCCCCTTTAAGTTACTTCATTAGGCCACAGTGCACTTATCTGAAACCGTCTTAGTTTGCCTCTCAGTTTGGGGTATCAAGGAAAGGGTGGGTGCCTGGGTACCTGCAGGCTTCAGGCCATTGAGGATTTCTGTGTAAAACCTCCGATCATAGCCGTCGCAGTAATGCCAGTTCTTCTCATCATAGCGCAGCCCGTCTGCAAAGGTGTATGTGCCCTGGAAGACAAGGAGCGCACATGTGCATCTGAGGAAGCTGAAGGCTTTTGGCCAAGAGGTTCAGATGTCAAGGGAAGTGGGGGGCTTTCTGATGGCTACAGTAAAGAAGTGGTAACGATCACAATTATTATGGTTGTGATGATGAGAGGGAATGGGTATAAGTGCTGAGCCCTGTCCCTGCCACTCAAAGTAGGTGAACTCACTTTGGCAGATGAACTTGGGCAGATGAACTTGGGCAGATGACCCACTCTCTCTGGCCCTTCATTTCTTCATTTGTAAAATTAAGTTAATGATGGTATACATGAAATAGGGTTGATTGAAAATTCAATGAGATAGCACACGTGAAGCATTTAGCACAGTGCCTGGCTGTGATGGTTGATTTGGTGAGACAACTTGACTAGGTTAAGGGAAAGGGATGCCTAGATAGCTGGTAAAACATTTCTGGGTGTGTCCATGAGGGCATTTCTAGAAGCAATTCACATTTTAATCGGTGGACTGAGCAAAGAAGTTCTACCCTCACTAAAGTGGGTGGGCATGATACAATCCGTTGAGGGCCTGGATAGAACAAAAAGGCAGAGGGAGCATCAGTTTGCTCTCTCTGCTTGTGCTGGGACATCCATCTTCTTTGCCCTTGGACATCAGCATTCCCGGTTCTCGGGCCTTTGAACTCTGACTGGGACTTACTCCATTGACCCCCCTGGTTGAGGCCCTTGGGTTTGGACTGGAACTACACTAACAGCTTTCCTGGGCCTCCAGGTTGCAGAGGGAAGACTGGGAGACTTCTTAGCCTCCATAATCTTGTGAGCCAATCCCTAATGTAAATCTCTTTCCATACATCTCTGTATATCCTATTGGTTTTGTGTCTCTGAAGAACCCTGACTGACACACTGACACAAAGTAAGCACTCAATAAATGTTATTCTTCTTTTATTATTATTATAGCTGGAAAGGTCAGAGCCATCAGCCATGGCCCTTTGTCCAAACACGTATGTTCTGCCTTTGCTGCCTTACTGCTAAAGGAAGCCTCAGGATGTAGAAATTGCATTGGCCTGGGCATCAGGAAACACGGGTGGAAATTCCAATGATACTATTAATTCACTGTGTGACCTCGGGTAAGTCACATCCCCTTCCTGAGGCTTAGATTCTCCAAGCTATAAAACAAGGTTAAGAAATCTTAACATTTTTTAGGTCATGAGTCAGGCCCCAACACGCTCTTAGTGAAACTGATGAAAGCTATAGATGCTTTTCCTGGAGAAAAACTTAGTCCCCTTTACACAGAAACTTCTGTATATAAATCAAGAGGTTTCAGTAACTCCCTGAATTCTATTCATGACCCACAAATACCAGGGTAAGAATCCTTGGATTAGGTAGGTTATAATGATAGTAGCAGTGATGGTGGTAGTAAGAGCTAACACTTATTGAGTGCCTCCTGTATGCTGGGAACTTAGCAAAGTGTTCATATATATATATATATTGCCTCATTTACTCTTATGATCATCCTAGGAGGTGTCTTGTACTATTGTGGTAGGCTGAATAATGGTCCCCCAAAGATGTCCCTGTCTGCTGCAACCTGTGAATATGCTACCTTACATGGCAAGAGATATTTTGCAGATGCAATTAAATGAAGGATCCTGAAATGGGAAGATTATTTGGATTATCTGGGTATGCCAAATATAATTGCAAGGTTCCTATGAGAGGGAAATAGTAAGGCCAGGGTGAGAGAAGACGAGATGATGAAAGCAAAGGGATGAAGGGTGATGTGATGATGAAAGCAGAGGTTGGAGTGATGCATGGCCATGAGCCAAGGAATGCAGGCAGCCTCTAGAAGCTGGAAAAGGCAAAGAAACAGGTTTTCCCACAGAGCCTCTGGACAGAATGCAGGCTTGCTGACCTATTTCAGACTTCTGAGCTCCAGAACTGTAAGATAATACATTTGTGCTGATTTCAGACTAAATTTGTGGTAACCTGTTATAGTACCAATAGATAACTAATGCAACTACTGTCCCGAGTTGATAGGTGAAGAACTCTCAGGGAGGTGAAGTCATGGGCCCAAGATCAGGCAGTAAGTGGCATAGCAGATGCAAATTCATCATAGCCTCTCCACAAATCCTTCCAGATCTAGAAGGAGAGGATTCTAGGGCACTGGGAGATCCAGAAGCAGGGAGAAATTAGCCGGGCATGCTGGCACACACCTGTAATCCTAGCTACTCAGGAGGCCTAGGCAAGAGAATAGCTTGAACCCAGGAGGCAGAGATTGTGGTGAGCTGAGATTACACCACTGCACTCCAGCCTGGGTAACAGAGTGAGACTCGTTAAAAAAAAAAATGCCAGGTGGGTGCAGTGGCTCGCACCTGTAATCCCAGCACTTTGGGAGGCTGAAGCGGGTGGATCACAAGGTCAAGAGATTGAGACCATCCTGGCAAACATGGTGAAACCCTGTCTCTACTAAAAATACAAAAATTAGCTGGGTGTGGTGGCGCACACATGTAGTCCCAGCTACTTGAGAGGCTGAGGCAGGAGAATCGCTTGAACTCAGGAGGCGGAGGTTGCAGTGAGCATTGTGCCACTGCACACCAGCCTGGCGACAGAGTGAGACTCCATCTCAAAAATAAATAAATAAATAAATAAATAAATAAATAAATAAATAAATAAAAATAAAAAGTCGGGGGAGAGGGGGAGAAACAAAGAGAAGAGGGAATGGAAGGAGGTAGGCACCAGACAGGGTAGATGGGGCGCCACAGGGTGAGGCTCTTCTTGCCCGAGGATCTCTCCTCCACAGCACCCGCCCCCCTGGCTGATCACCTTTATGGCCAATCCATTTTCCCAAACAGCATCATATTGGCTCCCGCTGGGGAAGTACAGAGTTCCTTCGCCATGAAACACACCGTCCTTCATTTCCCCAACATATATTGTTTCAGTAGGGAGGATGTACTTGGCTTTGCCCTCCATCCTGTAAAGACACAGGGAAATCACTGAGCCCCATGTGACAGCTGGAGGGTCAGAGCTGGCAGGCGACAGAGTGAGCAGGAACCCCATTCTCAGCATTCTCATCCTTCCCATCCCAGCAGTACTCTGCTGAAAACAAAATTTTTATTTTGTTTCCCCCAAAAGCTCAAAAATGAAAAGAGGGGAATACAGTTTGCTCTGTTCATTCTCCCCTTCACCTAGAGGCTCACTCTCACCTTGGAGTTCACACTGCTTCCTGAATCTTACCACCATTTTTTATATATATATATACACACACACACACACACATATATATAATCTTGGATACTGACATTGTTTGGCTGTGTCCCCGCCCAAATCTCATCTGGAATTGTAGCTCCCATAATCCCCACATGTCCTGGGAGGGACCCAGTGGGAGGTAACTGAATCATGGGGGTGGGTTTTTCCCATGCTGTTTCGTGAAAGTGAACAAATCTCATGAGATCTGATGGTTTTATAAAGGGCAATTCCCCTGAACATGCTCTCTTGCCTGCTGCCATGTAAGATGTGCCTTTGTTCCCCCTTTGCCTCCATCATGATGGTGAGGCCTTCCCTAGCCATGTGGAACTGTGAGTCCATTAAGCCTCTTTCCTTTATAGATTACCCAGTCTTGGGTTATGTCCTTGCAGCAGCATGAGAACAGACTAATACAGATACTTTCCCAAACCTCTTTGCTTGTGCTTCCCTCCCTTCCCTCCCTTCCTTCTTTGCTTCCCAACAGATATTTACAGAGCACCTACATTTTATCAGGGACTATGCTGATGGTCTAACCTGCTGAATACAACACAGATTCACCAGTGATCAAGGCAAATGCAGTCCCTGTCCTTGGGGGGCTCACAGTCTAGTGGGGGACACAATTGAGCAATTATACAATGTGTGATAAGTGCTGTGCTGGAGGAAGACAGGCTCATACAGGAGAACAAGGCAGTGACACCAACTTGACCAGTTGACTAGCTTCTTTGTTTTGTTTTCTGTTTTTTTCCAAGACCAGTTCTTATTCTATCTCCCAGGCTGGAGTATGGTGGTGTGATCATGGCTCAATGCAGCCTCAATCTCCTGAACTCAAGTGATCCTCCCACCTCAGCCTCCCAAGTAGTTGGGACCACAGGCTGCCCCACCATGCCCGGCTGATTTAATTTTTTTTTCTTTTTTTTGTAGAGACGGGGTTTCCCTATGTTGCCCAGGCTGATCTAGAACTCCTGAGCTCAAGTGATCCTCCTGCCTCAGCCTCCCAAAATGTTGGGATTACAGGTGTGAGCCATTGCACTGGGCTGTCCAGTTCTTTATGGGTGAAATGGCTGCAATTAATCCAGATAACATATAATAGTTTTCCTAGTAAAGGGCCTGACATATAGTGAGTACTTAATAAATATGCTTTCATTCTTTCTTTCTCCATTCCTCCCAACAAGCTAAAGGCTCCTCTCCTAACTCTGACCCTCTTTAGGCTTTTGCTACTACCTCTGTTGGGATGCGTAACACTTTCTATCTTGTTTTGTAATTAGATATCTTATCTCCTGTATTTAACTAAAGCTTCTTTAAAGGAAGACCTTGGTATCCTCAACTCCTAGAACCACTAAGCAGGTGCTTCATAAACCTCTCCTGAGTAAAGAATGAAGGAAACAGAAAGAGCAGTGAGTGAACAGAGTGGATGACAAAGTTGTTGAGATAATTGAGTGAGATGATGGATGTGAAACTACAGCAGAATGCCCAGCATAGAGCAGGAACTTGAAAACTATTTCACTTTTATTCTAGTGCAAGACATGGGGGGAAGGGAGAACTCCTCTTCTCCTTCCCTCCTCTATGCGTTGCTTGAGCTCACATCTGTCATTTCTAAGCACCATCTCCATATGCAAGTTCTACACCCTTCTCTGAGGTTAGACCCCACCCCTTTTCTTACCTCGAACTGGACATCACTGTTCAGACCTCTCACGGACATCTCCTACTCGCCTAAAACAGAACTCATCTCCTCCTCCCCTAAGCAGTACCTTCTTAGAGTTCTCCATTTCCATGAATGATATCAGAATCCTCTGGTTCAAGGCCGGGAGCTGGGCCCTGGGCTGGGGCTGTAAGCCATCTCTGGACAGGACTGGAGTCAATCAGCTGCCAACTCCTGGCAGTAAAATCCCCAAACCTCTCCTACATTTATCTCTTTCCTGCAGCTTCACTGCTTCTGCCTTGGCCCAGGGCTCTGCCGCCTCTTACTGGGACAACTGCAGTGAGCTCTGAGCTGATCTCCCCATCTTCGCTTTTCCTGCTTCCCTCCTCCCTCTCCCTCTCTCTCCTTCTCCTCCTCCTTCTTTTTCTCCTTCCCTCTCTCTCTCTTTCCCTTCCTTTCTCCCTCCTTCTCTTCCATTTAAAAAAATTCATTCAAGGTGAAAAGCCTACCTTCTAAATTCAAAGTAAGTTAAAAAGAAGAAAAAAAAACCACTTTATAGTGAAGACTTCAAATCATAATAAGGATATGATTACCAGATCTCAAATACCTATCAATTAGCTGGGCATGGTGGCGCATATCTGTGGTCCCAGCTACTGGGGAGGCTGAGGTGGGAGGACTGCTTGAGTCCAGTGGGGTGGACGTTGCAGAGAGCCAAGACTGCACCACTGCACTCCAGCCAGAGCACTCCAGAGTGAGACCCTGTCTCAAAAAAAAAAAAACCACCCAAAAGCTATCATCTCCTTCATTCGTTCTGCCAACATTTACTGAGTCCCTACCACACATACGCATTATGAGGAGAGATACAGAGATGAAATAAGTTTTATTTCCTGATGCTTGGCCCTACCAGGATCTATCAGTGGTTCCTCCGCCACCAGAATTGTGCACAGTATTGAAATTTCTTTGCCAGAGCACAGACCGCCTGTCAGCTTCCCCTCGCATAACTCCTCTGAGCACAACCCACTCTCCTGCCAAACTGAACTGCCAGCTCTACTCCATACGTGCCCTCTGGCTATTGCTCATGCTGATCCCTCCGCCTAGAAACATTCTTCACCTTGCATCCCCAACCACCTAAATCCTACCCAAACTTCAAGGCCCATTTCAAATATCATCTCTTCCATGAAGCCTTTAAGGATGGCTCCAACTGTATGTGTCCTCTGAAGGGCCCCAGCAGCAGAGCTCTATTGTAGAAAGCACATGGGCAGGCCGGCCGCGGTGGCTCAAGCCTGTAATCCCAGCACTTTGGGAGGCCGAGACAGGCGGATCACGAGGTCAGGAGATCGAGACCATCCTGGCTGACACGGTGAAACCCCGTCTCTACTAAAAAATACAAAAAAAAACTAGCCGGGCGAGGTGGCGGGCGCCTGTAGTCCCAGCTACTCGGGAGGCTGAGGCAGGAGAATGGCGTGAACCCGGGAGGCGGAGCTTGCAGTGAGCTGAGATCCGGCCACTGCACTCCAGCCTGGGTGGCAGAGCGAGACTCCTGATAGACCTGGGTTTTAATACCTTCTTTGCCAAGTGCTAACTGGGTGACTTTGGGCAAGTTATGTAATTACTCCCAGCCTTACTTTTCCCATCTGTAAAATAGGATAATGATATCTATCTCAAAGAGTCCCTGTGAAGAGAAAATGCAGGCAAAGCCACCCAGAGCACAGTAGTTGCTACATAAATGCTATGGGCATCCCTTCCTCCCCTGTGTCTGTAGGTGTCTTCTGGCACTTACCTTGTGGTGCTTTGGAGTGGAGTTATCTAGAACTCAATTGTGCAACTACTCCAAAGAAACCATAATATTGAGGTCAGACAGATCCTACATCAACTTTTTATTTTTTAAATATTCACACGTGGTACAGGGAAATCATGTCTCTTTTAAGATTTTTTAAAAGTAGATTTATTAAAGTGTAATTGACATACAATAAGCCACATATTTAAAGTGTACAATTTGATACGTTTTGACATCACCTGGGAAACCATCATCACAATCAAGACAACATATCTATTCCCCACAAAAGTTTCTTTCCATAACACTTCCTCTTTGCCCTTGCCCACAATCCTCATCTCTAGGTGACTACTAATCTACCTTCTATCACCATAGATTTGCATTTTCTAGAATTTTACATAAATGGAATCATATAGTATCTACTCTTTTTCTGTCTGGCTTCTTTCACTTAACATAATTTTTTGAGATTCATTCATGTTGTTCTGTGTACCAGTAGTTCACTCTTTTTTATTGCTCCATAGTATTCCAGTGAATGGATATATCACAGTTAGTTTCTTCATTCCTCTGTTGATGACATTTGGGTTTGTTTATAGTTTTGGTTGTTATAAATAAGGCTGCTATGAGTACTTGTATACATGTCTTTGTATAGATATACACTTTCATTTCTGGGGTAAATACTTATGAGTGGAATGGCTGTTTAACTTTTTAAGAAACTGCCAAACTTTTCCAAAGCAGTCGTACCATTTGATGTTCCTATCAGCCGTGGAGAGTCTACATAAACTTTTTAAACCAAACGTTAAATATCAACTTCCTACTATATAGAGAAGTTACTATATTCATTTAAACGCCAAGAGGAAAATATCCCCTCCCTAAATTAAAAAAAAGCTATTAAGTACCTACCGTATGTAAATAACATCCATATATGATCATTACTTATTCTTTGGAATACTACTGCTGAATGTGCATTGCTTTCCCATTTTACAGATGAGGAAACTGAGGTATGGATGGTTAATTAAGTGTACAACAAGCAAGTGGCAGACTTGAGCCCAGACCTGTCTGATGCTGAAACCTTTTTACCTCTACTATGTTGTCTCTCTCGTTACATGCTGAAATTTGAGACGCCCCAAATAGAACTCTAGTTAACTGTTGTTAAAAATACAAAATCAATACAGAACAAAACATGTTCCACTTATGAAAAGAAGTATAACAAGTGAAAAACTGCTGACTTCTTGCTAGTTATGGGAAGTTGGGAAGCCCTGTTTAGGTCTGGAAATCCCTTTCGTGGTTACAGAGGTACCAAACAACGTCAAGCAAAACCCAAATTCCTAGGGACAAAAGCATGGAAATGGCTGACTCGACATACCCAATGAAAATGCACAGAAGGCCAAAGGCAAATGGTTGAAAGCCTTCCTTCTTTTTTCTTGTCTGTGTGTTTCTCTCTCGCACATACATAGCCCATTGAAAATTAATGGAGTTTCTCAACTTCTTGTGCCTAAAATGCCCAATACCGCATCTCTATCTGCCAAAATTCTACCACCTTCACTGTAACAGGGCCTTGTGTAAAGTAAGAATGTGGTTTGTACAGGGGATTGGGTTCAAATCCTGACTCCATTACTTCCTAGCTGTGTATCCATAATGGTGGGCAAGTCATTTTGCTTCTCTTAACTTCTGTTCCTTTATTTGCAAGGTCAGCCTGAACTATCTCACTGAGTAGTGAGAGAGGGTACACACCAAGGCATCTCTGCCACTTACCTGCTGAGTAGGATAAGTGTCTCAAGCCCTGTAAAGGTCACCTTTCTTACCTGGAAAGATAATAACATCTTCCTTGAAAGACTGATGTAAGGATTAGAGATAGCATCCCATAGCATTCCTACCACCTTCTCTAGGAATCTATCTCCTATCCCTGCCCAGACCACAGATCCCTCTTTCTTATTAATCCAAAATGGCCTGGAATTCCACCAGCTTGTGAATACGGGGCCCCAAGGTGGTAGTGTTTCACAGTCCCCACAACTAGCACTGGTTTGGCAAACCACTTCATGTCGTCCAGCCTTGGTTTCCTCAGCTATAAAAACAGAGATTCCACTTTCTTCATCCAGGGTGGCTGGCAAGAAAGAGTGGCCACCTCTGTGTTTCCTCTGCTTCTCTCTACCACAGCTCTTACCACACTGAATCACAGTTATCAGTTATGTCTACTTGTCCCATCATGTTTGAATGAACTTTCTGAGGACAGGGATTGTGCCCAGAGTCAATTCCAGGGCCTGGTACTTGGTAGCCACTCAACATTGTTGAATTGCTGGGCACAGTGGCTCATGCAAGAGGATTACTTGAGCCCAGGAGTACGAGACCAGCTTGGACAACATAGCAAGACGCCATCTCTACAAAAGGCATTGAAAAATTAGCTGGGGTAGTGGTGCACACCCACAGTCCCAGCTACTTGGGAGGCTGAGGCGGGAAGATTGTTTGAGTCTAGGGGGTTGAGGCTGCAGTAAGCAGTGAACAGGCCACTGCACTCCAGCCAGGGCAACAGAGCGAGATCTTGTCTGAAACAAACAAAAAAACCCCACAAAAACGAGGGGGTGGGGAGAGAGAGAGAGAGAGAAAGGGAGGAGGGAGGGGGGGAGGGAGGGAGGGAATGGAGAAAGGAAGGAGGGAAGGAAGAAAGGAAGGAAGGGTGGAAGGAAGGAAGGAAGGGAAGGAAGGAAAAAAAAAACTGTTGAATTGTTTTTTACTACTAGTCCACTACAGTGATTTGTGTATATAATCCTCTATAATAATCTCTAGATTGTGAATTCCTGGAGGGAAGCGACCATCTCGATTCAGATTAGCCACAGTCTCTCTTCCCCAATCTTCGTGTTTACTCTCATAGCATTTACCGCTATCTGTAATTATTTTATCACTTATTTGTTTATTGACAATACATCTCCAACTGGATTATAAACTCCATAAGAGCAAGGATCTTGACATTTTAAATATTCTTATTCCTATGTCTAAAACTGGCAGATAGCAAACACGCACACACGCACACACAGTGAATGCACACACACATATAAGTATATATGGAATGAATGCATCTCAGCTTTGCTGCTTATTAGATATGGTCCTTGAGAAAATTACTCTGACAAGTTTGTGAAAGTGCCTGGCACAAGGTGTTTCGCAGAAGCAAAAAGACAGCCGTCTTTTTCCAGTCACAGCTATTCAAGGTATAGCAAGTGAATCAAATGAGCTCCTTACCTCCCATCTACATATTCCCCGATATATTTGCTCCCTGTGTACTCCATGGAGCCTGTTTTTAGCTTCCAGCTGTTAGGATCCGGAGACTCAGTGGAAACGGCATCACTATGACAACCTGGAGGGGTGGGCGGAGCCGAATCGAAGCCCCGCCCCCTGGAGGTGGCAAGCTTCTTGATATTGCGCACACTCCCTCGCTCGCGGGTGAGCAGAGCAGTACGCCTGCGTGTTGCCGGATGCGCATGCGCAGGCGCCGTGTGGCACTCAGCAGTCGAAAGGGGAGTTCAAGGAGACGGGGGAGACGCGGCTGAGGGCTGCTCGTCGGGGTCGGGGCTGCAGCCGTCATGCCGGGGATAGTGGAGCTGCCCACTCTAGAGGAGCTGAAAGTAGACGAGGTGAGGCTGTCCGGAGGACAGGCAAGGGAGACATGGGGCTGCGGCTTCTCGGGCCTGGGCCCAGCCCCGCTTAGGCTCCGCGGATCCTGGGTCCCGGGCCCCCCTCCCCAGTCCTCCAACACCTATACAGGTCGACCCCCGGAGGTCCCCTCCGCAGCTTCGGGAGTCGCCTCCTCTCTCTACTCCACCCTGTTGCATCCCGCAATGACTCTAGAATCCTCCCCCTTTCGCCTTCCACGGCGACCTGCTTCTCCTTCCGTGAATAATAGTGATACATTTTATTAAGCACCAACTAGTCATTTTACTTAGCTTATGTCGCTTAATCCTCAAACTTGCATGCGAAGTGAGTATAGGGGCTCAATGTGAACCCTAGGGGCTCACAGTCCAGGGAGACAGTCACTACCTTAAAGTGGTATCACCGGTGCAGAGTGCATAGAGTGGGGCGAGGAGGCCGCGGGAAAACGAGACGATATTGGAGCGTGCATCTACTCGCAGCCATGGGAAGGTGTTTGGTAACAGGACTCACTTAAAGCATTCGTTTATTCAAGAGATATCATTTGAGTAATTAACATGTACACACAATGCTGGAAGAGGTATACTTCCTGCTTTCATGGACTTTCAATCCCGTAGGGAGACAGACACATAAAGAGGCCATCACAGTACAATGTAGTTAGTGCTGTGAGAAGTGAAATAGAAACATACCCTACTAATTATAGCTAACATGATCAAGTCCTTTCTAGATGCCAAGCAGGATGCTAATTACTTTCCGTGCATTAATTCATTGAATCTTCCCAGCAACACTGTAAGGTAGGATATATATATATATACACAATTGGTCGTAACATGTTATAAATAAGGAACTAGGCCCCGAGAGTAGAAATGATTTGCCTAAGGTCATGGAGCTTGTAAGTAATAGAGCTGGAAGTGAACCCAGGTCTGATTTTAAAACCAATGCTTTTCCACTGTATTATGGGTGAAAACTCAAAAGAATGAGAAGGCCTAGCAGAATCTGTGTGTTTAGGAAGCCAAGTACGGTTTAATGTGACCCTAGTGGTGGTGGTGGGAAGCAGCAGGTGCTGAGCCTGGAGAGGCAACTTGGGCTGAGATAGGACTTGGAAGCAGCTTCCACAAGGCCAGACCAAACAGTTTGGACTTGATCCCGTAAGGGAGATGGTGGGAAGAGGTGGAAGGTTTTAAAGCACAGGAGTGCCATGGCAGGGCTGAGTAGTAGAACAGGCTATATTAAAGGAGAGGAAGACCAGGACTAGAAATGATGTGCCAGCACTAATATACTATGTTAAGTGTTTTCTTTGTTTGTTGTTGTTTTCGAGACAGAGTCTCGCTCTGTCGCCCAGGCTGGAGTGCAGTGGCGCGATCTTGGCTCATTGCAACCTCTGCCTCCCGGGTTTAAGCGCTTCTGCTGCCTCAGCCTCCCGAGTAGCTGCGATTACAGGCGCCGGCCACCACACCCGGCTAATTTTTTGTATTTTCAGTAGAGACGGGGTTTCACCGTTTTAGCCAGGATAGTTTCAATCTTCTGACTTCGTGATCTGCCCGCCTTGGCTTCCCAAAGTGCTGGGATTACAGGCATGAGCCACCGCGCCCGGCCACATGTTAAATGTTTTACCTGCAATGCTTCATTTAAACTTAGATGCCTGTGAGAGTGGCAACTGTTATTTTCCTCAGAGGAAGAAATTATTAGCTATGTTCAGGGACTTATATTAAAGTGACATTTACTCTGAGGTGGCAGAGGGGAGCTGCCCTGTGGCCACCAGTCTTTTGTTCCTCCCTACCCCCCATGTAGCTGGGTTAATCTTGAGTTGCTGAATTTCTTGTTACAGTTTTTATTAGGTTCAACAAACGTCTGAGGTTCTACTTCATACAACTGGTATATCTGAAATACATTTGCCTTTAGGCTTCACACAATTGAATGAACATACAGATAATTACTTAAATAACTAAAATACAAGACAAAGTGTGATTAAATACTATGAAAGGGGGGCAGATATGGTTTAGGAAAAGATTTGAAGTTGGATCTAAATTTTAGGCCTACCTGCCGGTCACCTTGATTACTTGATTTTAGCATTTGCAGACGTGGTTATTTGTAAGATGAGGTGATCCCAGCTATAAAATTCTCTGAAGCTATAAAGGGAAGAGAGAAAGCACTTTTTGGGCATAATGTAAGATGTGGCTAAATGGCGTTTGAAGAATGGCACTTATAGGCAGAGATGGAGAGAAGACCCCTCTAAGTGAGGGTAGGGTCTGAGCAAAAGTAAGGAGATGGGAAAATGCAGGGAGCCAAACAGGAGTTCAGTGTTCTGAGAGAACAGTAAATAGTCCCTTTTTGAAATGTTGTGGGTGAGAAGGATGGAAAGATAGTTTGGGTCCAGAAGCCTTTCCATACCCGTTAAGAAGTTTAGGCTTTATTCTGCTATTAAGGCTGAATGAGAGTTTGGTTGCTAATTTAATAGCAGAGTAAAATAAGAATTGTCATTTAGGGAGATCACTCTAGCAGCTGTGTGAAGAGTGGATTGAAGAAACAAAAAGAAAAGCAGGGAGACTGGTCTCAGTGGTTCTTAAAATTATTGAGAAAGATGTTAATGATCCCAGTGTAATTGGTGTTTACAGAGATTGTGCTTTCAGAGAGGAAAGAACAAGTATATCTAGAATTGATCAGACTTAGCAATGAATTTGATATTGGAGGCAGGGAAAGTTGAAGAATCAGAGTCAGATTTGCAACATGGCAGTATTTCTGGTGAAGCCAGAAGAAGGAGCAGGTTTGGAGAGCGAGTTAAATACATTTTGGACCTCATTGGCTTAGGAGTTATGACACATCTCCATTGAAAAAAGCAGTCAGAAGCTTTGGACTGGAAAGTCCTTGGACACATTGACAATTTTGAGTGAAAATAAAAATAGCTAATATTTATGGTGTACTTTCAATGTGATAGGCACTGTTCTTATTTTTATATGTATTAGCTAATTGAATCTTCATAACAGTTCTATTTAATAAGTACTATTCTCTGTTTTACATAAATTTAGGAAAACTCAAGGCATGGTCTAAATAAAGTACTATAAAAAGAGGTACAGACATAGTTTAAGGAGGCAAGGACAGGACTAGAAGTTTGTTTGGCTCTAGATGGTGACTTTGTCTCAGTTTCCACACCTGCAGACTGTGTAACCCTGCTGCGCAGTGAGACTGTTGTGAGAATAAATGAGGAAGGATGTTGAAATTCTGTGTTCTTTGAGACAAAGAGAGCTGAATGAATTTGAGAGGGTATTCACAGTAAACAGCTGTGAAAGGATGTTGTTTCTGTTGGAATTCATCAGTCTTAGTGAAGAAGCAGGTGAGGGGATATGGTGACATCTCAGGCTCATCCACCTCAGTGATGGTGATATCATGGGAAGAAGCCTTATTGGAGGTCACAATCTCAGTGTTCCAGTTCTGGGGTTGCCACTGGGGTTGCCACTGACTCACTGTGTTGTCTCTAGCACATCCCTCTTTTTCATTAATTACAAAACAGACTCAATGTCTTCCTTTATTTTCCTGTGACAGGGATGGTGTTTTACATGCTCAACAACATGAGTATACCTTCGTTTTGATAAGATTTCCACATTTGTAGGGAAATAATGCAGGCAGGCCTTATAGTTTTGGGCCTTTGAATAGTTGAATCAGCCAGTTAAAGCTCTTTTAAGGCATATGACAAGTAAATATAACTAACTTAATTATTAAAATATATTAAGCTTTTAAAAAAGTTTGAGTGTTAGTTTTTATTCTCCTAGTTGTTTATAGGTAATAAAACAAGCAAATGTGTGCCACTCAGTTTTCCTAAATAAATTATTTTCAAAACCTTTAATACGAAAACTTTACAGATTTTAAACATAAATTTATTAGAGTCATCATGGCAGATTTCACTTATGTCATAACTATTTTTGATAGTTGTAACAGTTGCACTATTAATAGACATAGTCATAACTTTATTCTCCTTTCTATAGTGTATAGATTATTACCCTTGTCATCTTTCCTTGCCTTTTATTAATAACCTAGCTGCGTAAAGTGCATAAAAAATAAAATTACAGCTGGGCGCGGTGGCCCATGCCTATAATCCCAGCACTTTGGGAGGCTGAGGTGGGGGGATCATCTGAGGTCGGGAGTTCGAGACCAGCCTGACCAACATGGAGGAACACTGTCTCTACCAAAAATACAAAATTAGCTGGGTGTGGTGGTACATGCCTATAATCCCAGCTACTCAGGAAGGCTGAGGCAGGAGAATCACTTGAACCCGGGAGGCGGAGGTTGCGGTGAGCCGAGATTGCGCCACTGCCCTCCAGCCTGGACAAGAGCAAAACTCGGTCTCAAAAAAAATAATAATAATAAAATAAAATAAAATTACAGACTGTTCTCACACAAAAAATTTTAATTTTACAAATCAAATTCAGTAGTGTATTAAAGCATAATACACTGTGACAGACTAGATTTTATTCTAGAAATACATTGGATCCGTTTTACAAAATCTGTTAATGCTCTATGTTACATTTATAAATTAATGAAAACGAAGCCTAAAAATTTTAGTCTTTTCTGGTATAGAAAACATGGGTAAAGCAAAACTAATTAGAATTAGAAAGAAGTTTTCTTAACAAGGCATATCCAAACAACTATATTCCAGATACCAACAGCAAATATTATACCAAACCTGCTTTTAATTTTAAAAAAAGGGAAGGTTGTCTGCTGTCATTGCTCTTCATCTG